TACAAGTATTATAATACATATTGCTAGTTATCGTCTATGGTCTATTCACTAGGAATTTAACTACATCCGGACTTCAATATATTATTGAGAATTGACATATTATTATTGTGTACCTATTAGTTGTATTAAAAAATAAATAAATGTATATTATTATATAATATTTTAAATATTATTATAACCTTATTCTGTAAATACCAATTATTACAGCTAAAAAACGTATAGTAGTGTTAAAATCAATTCGTCGGAAAATTATATTAATAATTACAAAAATTATCGAAATTCAACATCAATTCACAATTCAATTTTATAGGGAACAAATAAAATATTATGAAGTAAATAAATGTACAACCATAATTAATTATTAACCAAAATCAGTATCTATAGTGTTTCACATAGACTTTAGAATATTCGTAGGTGATGATTTTAAGTAATTTTAAGTATGTTTTAGAAACATTATTGATTAAAAAACTTTCTTAATTTCTGGTGGATTTGGTATGAATTTGAAAATTTAATCGTTACAGTAAAATATAAGGAATATAGGGTTATATAATCAGGGGCCAATTTGTCGTTGACATTAATGAGAATTTAATCAGAAATAACAAGTAGGTTAAACAGATTTTGAAGAAATTATCACTTTATTTTCAAATCTCCAATCTTGGAGCAAGTTTTAAACTTATAAATGTATCTAGACTGTTTTTATTAGGTAGGTAATTAAATAACAACAGAAAATATGCAATAGATACCTAATATTAAACAAAAAAATAAAATATATATTTTTTTAATTTTCTGTTTTATTTTTATAGTTGATAGGTAGGCATAGTACCTACCTATATAGTATTATCATGACTACTAAATTATTGCAAGAATTCAATATACTTATGTACAGTAAAAAAAATAGTAAAAGCTTATTACCTACTCATAAAGAAATATCTGTGTTAATTTTAATTTTACTTATATCTACTTTTCTTTTTTTAAAACTTTAATTTGTTTATTTAACATTGTTTTTCCTAACGATTTAACTAAGAGTTAACTAATGGATGAAAATATGAAATATTGGAACAAATGCAGTTTAGTTTCTAAGTGATTTTTTTTTTCAAAATTTGAGTTTTTACATCCTTAACATAGGTATTATCGAACACACTTTTTATTTTATTGTTGGGTAATAAAGTAATTTAATTTGAAAATACCCATGGAATTACGGAAACTCAAGGATACCAAAAAGCTATACATTTTAAACTAAGTCAGACGGAATATTTCGATGGCAAAATTATTTTTCTTAATTCATTGAAATAGGTACAACATAGATTTCCCGAAAAAAATATTAAAAATCGCTTGGCAGCTAAACTGCAGTTATGCCACAAAAATGTAGTTATATCTTAGGTACATTTTAAGAAATAACTTATTTTTAAGGCAGTAGGGAGGCAAATCGGTACAATATTCACTTATCTTTGAGATTGCCAGCTTTCACGATTTTTCTGATCACGGTTCTCAATAGTCGATTTTGCATTTACGCTTGCAGTCCATTCCGTAGGCGTGATATTGCAAAATGTACAATAATTGTATATATTAAGATATTACATCGACGTAAAGTTACAAGAATATATTTGGAATTTCAAACAAATTTAAACTTAATTAATAATGTTATACATTTTGTGTATTTTTCCGTCGAAACCAAACAGTCAACGGTATCTCCATGGTTACAATGTGTATGAACGTTTTGTTCCATTTTCAAAATCCGAAAAAAGAATTTATAAAAAACGTATTTATTTTGGTTACATAAGTGAATGTTTTATTTCTCGTGGACGCCGTGTGTATATAATAATATAAAAATAAAAAGCGGGTAAGTGTATGTCGCTCTGTTGTACAGTTACAAGTGGGTGACTGTACAATAATAGATTGTATGAAATTTGAATTCAATGATATAATATCATTGCATCCGAAAAACGCATTAAATTCATTAAAAAATATCAACTCAGAATCTAAAATAACATTACCATAATAGTTATACAATTTTTTTAAAATATATTACTAGAGTAAAGTTCAATAATATACATAAATTTAAAAAAATAAAACATTTTAGGTAAACAACTGTTGTATAATATAATATAATATAATATTAGATGAATAGCTGTGTTGTAGATATAAATCTGTGGGTTTTTTTTTCGGGGGGGGGGGCGCATTTTTAATAACAAAAATAGTTATATACAAATTAAACTATATATAGCTATTATATATGTTAAATGTTAATGTATAATAATACATTTAACAATTAGAACTAAATAAGTATACATATGTTTAAAAAACAATTATATTTTTAATTAACTAAAAAGTATTATCTAATAATTATAAAATATTTGTAACTACATTATAAAACAAAGTAAAATAAATGTAAATAATATATAAACATGAATAGTTATTGAATAATACAAATAAACTAATACAGAAAGTAAGTATAATGAAAACAAATAGGTATTTAAATAAAAACAAATCGATTATGCTCTAGCCCCTAAGTTCTGAAGAAATTTGTTTAATTAAGGTGAATATGACTTGTCATACTTTGTATGAATATTGAATATAAAAAAAAAGGTTTGTAAAAATAGCCACACTAACTCTCGGATTTGGGCAGATATTCAACATTGAAAACATGGTACATTTTGAAACATACATAAAATATTTTAGATTCTGAGTGAAACGAAGAATGTATTGATTTTACAATGATGTGTGTTTTTTTTTTTAATTTTTTTTTTTACTTTTGTGTCTGTGTACACCATTAGTAATCGAAATAATGATTCGATTTTCAACTTCAGTAACTTGTTCGATGGGAAAGTGAATCTAGTTGGTGCTTTTGGAAGGTCAAAATTTAAAATTCCCAATAGTCTTCACAAGCGACAAGATTAAGAAAAGAAAAATTAAGGAAAAACGGGAATTTTTACGCAAAATCGATTTTTCACAAAATTGAATTTGGTTTTGGTGTAACTTTAAAACAAATGACCGTAGACACTTGAAATTTTCACTGGTGTTTATATTTGCATTTTCTATACACTATAACATTTTCAAAATATTTTGATTTATTTTGAACTATTTAGGGACATTTTAATTTTTCATTTTTTTTTTATTTTTTTTTTTCTAAATATGTCAATAAAATTTTATTTGTTGGCTGAAAAAGCTTGAAAATTTAATAGAAGGCTAGTAGTATACTGTTCCAAAGGCAGATGAAAAAAAGCATTAAATTATAAAAGCATTTAAAGTTCACAAATTGACAAAATATGGAAAAATCACGAAAATTAACAAATTTATTTTGAGTTAAAAATTCGTAAAAATTTTTCTTTTTAAATCTAAGGTTTTAAAATGTAATACAAGATTCCTCATAAGTTTGTCTACCTTTATCAAAAAAAAAAATGTCTATAAGAAAGTCAAATTAAATTTTTATGAGGGTTTTAAATTCAAATTTTTACAACATTGGATGTTCACTCGATTTCTCATGTAGCGATTTCCTTATTTTGTTGTAATTCAAAAACGAATAACTTTAAATACATGAAAATTTCACTTTATATTAGCATTTCCTATACACCGTACAATTTTGAAAATATTTTGACTCCCTTTGAGCTGTTAACGGAAATAATCATTTTTCATTTTTTTAGTTATTTTTTTCTTTGAATATCAATAAAGTTTTATATGTTAGGTCAAAAAGTGTAAACATTTAATACAAGGCTCCTGATATATTGTTACAATAGAAATTGAAAAATATTAAAAATACATAGGCACATTTTTTTTTTTATAAGCATTTATAGATCGAATTTTAACAAAATTGATCAATAATTGTAATTAATATTTTATAAAATGTTCAGTTTTCATAGCTAAGGATTGCAAATTTAAAACAAAGGTTCTCATAAAAAGTTCATACTGTAACCAAAAAATCTAAAAAATATAATATGAACACAGTTATTTTTTACAGACATTTTAAATTCAAATTTGGACGAAATTACATATAAATTACAAATTACTATTTTAGTTATTTTGTTGTGATTGTATAATCTTATTCGTGGGTACTTGAAACTTCTAAAGTATCCTACTATTATACGAGTATATTACATAATGTGACTCGTATTATATTATAATATGCACCCAGCGCGAGGGCGTAAAACGAAGACACTCGGGAAAAAGAAGCCATCGAGACGCCTTTAATTGGTTTTAAACGATATAATTTCATATATTTTGCTATACTATACATAATATAGGTACCATATAGTTAATAGTTATAATATTATAATAATTGTGACATTAACACGATTATCAGTATTACTATTATCACTATTATTATTACTATTACTTTTATCATTATTATTATTATTACTACTTTTCCACTCATGTTAGAGGTTATGATTAATATTCGTTGTTGTTGTCTTGTACGTACGTGGGACGCACGTTGTTCCGTACTGACTGAATTATTATGTACCTATGTGTATCGAAGTTATTTCAAAGTAATAAATTGTTCTAAATGAAAGTATTTGTTATTTCTTACATCAGAAGTGGGATAAAGAACGAATGTTAATTATGGATGGTCAGATGAATGCGGATAAAACTGTCGACGGCAAGACGCAGTACTCTGCGGAGGAAGTGAATCATGTGATCTTCGGCCAGAGTGCTCAGAGCATTCAAAGCACTCAGAGCCATGTAAAGGAAGACGGGAACGCGATTTTGATGCAGACATTACTCAAACAGAATGAGTTACTAATGAGAATGTTAGCGATAAAGGAGAAACCGCCAGAGGAGGTATACGCTCCACCGGACTTGTCGAAAGTACTACCAACGTTTGATGGTAAGTGTAAGCCCCATGAAGCGGCGGATTGGTTGAGCACGCTCTGTGGAGTGGCGTCATTACATCGTTGGTCGGATGCACTCAAGTTGGAGGCGGCGAGAGTAAACGTGGATGGTCCAGCCCGCCAATGGTATATTGGGCGAAGATTCAAGTCATGGGCAGAATTTGAACAGCAGTTTAAAGCAACGTTCTTCAGAAAGGTTAACACGGGCAGTCGATGGAAGGCATTGGCAGCGCGGGTACAAGGTAAAAACGAAAGTATTCTAGACTACTTCCACGAAAAGGTTCGACTTTGTCGAGATTTGGAATTAGATTTGTTTGATACCAAGGAACAGTTATTAGACGGTTGTTGTTGTCTTGTACGTACGTGGGACGCACGTTGTTCCGTACTGACTGAATTATTATGTACCTATGTGTATCGAAGTTATTTGAAAGTAATAAATTGTTCTAAATGAAAGTATTTGTTATTTCTTACATAATTGTCATATATATATAAAAAAATAAATATAATATAATGCGCGTGTGTTCACAAAATCGGATACACCATAACTCGGTTACTTATGTTTCTCAGTCTCCTTTACATATTTTTGAATTCAGTTTGCGTCACACGAGTCTTATTACACGACATATTTATACTTGAAACATCGCGATCTCGTTTTCTATGGATATTATAATATCATTCCAACCGAAAAGAAGTTATAAATCGTTTTTCGCGACCCGATGGATGCATATTATTATAATGGCCAATAATGTAAATAAATTATGCATAGGACATTTACGCCGAGTAGTGTAATATACGTATATCTAATACCATAGTTGCCTAGGTATAACAATCAGCAGTATATATTATATTATAATACGGTTGCAGTTAGGGAGGCATATACTGCACTGTTATAAACCGTGGTATAGGTAAGTAAGTACGTACTCGCAGCTGTCGTCGTCAAATAGATAGTTCACAAAAATCTGGAAAACGCGTACCTGTATATACGTCGTATACGTTTTAAATCACGGCAACATCGAGTGCGAAAACCGTGCGATTTCTACTCGCTGGTCACCCAAATAGAATAAGTCTATAAATCTAGTTTCGGTGGCGGTAGTGAGTATAATATAATATATTTTACATCGTCGCGACGTATATTTTACCTATAAATCGCAAGTCAGAGGCGTAGAAAGTTTTGCGCCTATATTGTATTTGCAGTGTGCAGCTATTGCAAATTTATCGTCCGTTGCGCTTTCACCCGCTCGCGCGTGAACAATAAGGCCGTTATATTATTACAGTCGCATATGGCTGTGTATAATATGTATATAATGTAGGTATACACGATCGTACAACATTGTATTATTATAATTATATATATATATACCTATGTGTATATAATAATATATAGATGTATAATATATAGTATGAGCGTGCACTACGTATAATATGCAAGGCAAACAATGCTGCAGCGACTTATGTACTCGCGGTGCTGCACTTCGGTACGAGAAGACATTTAATAATATAACATTATATATTGTGCACGATCAATAATGACGTCGTGAAAAATTACGAATTTGTCGGACCGGGGACTGACGATATAGGCCTTATACGATCGTCCTATTGTTGCAGTCGTATTATAGTCTTAACCGTAGATACCGCGGTACCATGGCCTGTGTGTGGTAATATAGTATAAAATATAATAATATATTTTAAGAATTTAAAGTAGGTACCCAGGAATAATATTTTTAAATTATAACAAAATAACTAAAATTGTTATTCTTCGTCTAAATGCCAAATTTCTTCCAAATTTTGAACTTCAGATGTCTATAAAAAAAATAAGTTCCGTAAAACGGGGTAACTTTGGCCCAGGGAGGTAACTTTGGCCCACAGTTGGAATTTTGATAACTTCTGTACACTGTGATAAGAAATGTGACTATTATCAAAATGTTGTGGTTGATTCTGATTCCTGACAACACTGGTAACCGAATGTGATAACAGTTTT